CATCATCTGCCTTTTTCCTGAGGGACCCAGGGCAGCTTCCAAAACAAACTATGTTAAAAAACCAAATAATAAATCATTGCAATATTTTAAAAGCATGAAACAACTACCATGTTAAAGACAATGTGGAAAATACAGAATAAAACATTCACGTTCAAAAAAAAAAATCCCCTTAGTCAACCAGTCATTTAAGGTGGAAAATACAGAATAAAACGTTCACTTTCCAAAAAAAAAAAATCCCCTTAATCAGCCAGTCATTTAAAGGAAAGCTTGCCTAGAAGAGAAAGGTCCCTGCCTGCTTGCGGAAAGACAGCAAAAAAAAAAGGAGGCCAGCTTGGCCTCCAGTGGGAGGGAGTTCCAGAGTCTAAAGGAGCAGCCGCAGAGAAGGCCCTGTCTCCTGATGATCTTAATGACTGGGTACGTCAGAAAGGGAGATCTATGACAGTGCTCCAGATACCTGAAGGTAGCTCTCTTTTGCATTTCAGCCTTCTCTTTTCCAGGCTGCATATGCCACGTTCCTTCAACTTTTCTTCACAGAAATTGGTTGCTCGCCACTGGACAAATTCCAGTTTCTTCATAAGCGGTGGTGCCTTATGGGACATGAAACACCCGTCCCCCCCCCTCCAAAAAAACCAGCTTTTTCTCAGAAGGCTGATGAAAGGTTGGGGGGGAATACACAAAGGGGTAGAGGAAATAAACTGAAACTCAAAACAAAGGAAGGAAATCAGCAGCAGGATTCTCGGAATTATGACACAATTCCCTTTGTCTTTAAGAAAATTCGTAATCGTGCAAGCGCAGTGAAGGGAAACTTTGGACTCTGTGCAGGAGTCTACATATGAAGGGTTGTGCGTTGTGCGTGCATGCATGCATGCATGCGTGTGCGTTTTCAACTGTTTTGCATGATGTGAGCTCTGACCTTCAGAGAGGAACAGCCGGAATATTTTCTTGCCCGGGGCTAGTGTTGTCAGTGAAATGTCTGTCTTCCTTAATAATTTCAATCCGGGTGACAGAGGACAGGGCATTTTTTTGCTCCGAACGAACATACTGTAAAAACTGTCAGATGGGATTTGTCTCAAGAACTGGCGTTTCCATCCACTGAGGGTCATCGTCGCCGGCATCCGTTGACCTGTGCAGAACTGCACATCCCTTCTTTCCATCAAAGGGGGGGGGGAGGCTCTCAGGAAACACTTGTGAGCTGCTTGTGTGCCACCAACGGCTTTAAAAAACACCACGCGTGCTCCCCTTTCCCACCCAGACCTATCTCCTGCCTCGTGCGTCTTTCGAAGGATAGGCAAATGAAGGTCCAGGAAGGGAAACAAGATAGCCACGGATGCTTTTATCTCTACTTCCTGTTACCGAGTTTTGAATATCTGGTAAAATCCCTTGTGCTGTGCAAGTAGAAGTACAGAGATTCACAGAGGAGATCAGCTCCAACGTCCCCAGATAGTCCACCCCTTTTTCATTAACCGGCACTTAACAGTTTCGATAACTCTCTTGGAGACATTTGTAGGAGAAAGAATTGAAGCATTTCATTACTTACAGTTGTACAACAGATCAACAGCAAACAAACAACTTATTTCAGTATACTAAAGGGAACTGAGGGGAACACAAAGCAGAGAGGTGAGGCTCTTTCCAAATTCAGAGGTGGGACCAAACGATTGGTTAGTGCTGGATAGATTGACAGCCCAGAAAAGTCCCTCCCACGTATTCATGCCATAGGCAGCCTACGAGGTTGTAAAAGTTCCCCATGCTTCTGAAGCAATCTTTTGGTGTGGGATTGTCCAACACCATTCGTTCACTTTTCTCAGGGGCTGTGCTTTCAAAATGACGGCCCGGATCCGGTTTGTTTCAGGGTGAGCCACCATCCATGGTGTGCGCCGTTCTTTTCCGCCTGGCGTCCACGCACGAGGACCTCTCTTTTTGTGGAATCACTGAGCAAACCAAAGGAAGAGTCATGGAGGCTACGTCTATAGAGCAGTTACGCTCTGCACTTCTGAGCAGGATTTTGCTCTGTAACTCAACGAGGGCCATGGGGAATGCAGCCCCACTACCAACCAACCACCCCCCCATCCCTAGACTCCCACACTTGTTATACTGGGAGGTCTGAACATGGCTACAGTATTATGAACCTGGTTGACAGGCCTCCGTGAGCAAACAAGAACCCAAGTTGCTGAATTGGGCCTTTGGGAATATTTGTTTCTTACATGTTCATGAAAATGCAAAATATCTACATTTTCGCCTCACCTGTGAAAAGGTGAGGCCTCTCTCTCTGCTTGTTTTGCATTTGTTAAGAGTAATTTTTGAGCAAATATGATAACGGTTACCTTGCAGTGTGGTCTTGTCAAAAGTAGAAGCACATTGACTAGGTTGCTCATGTCTTTTTGATCCATCGGCCCGTGTTGCGCTTGCATTGGCTGTATGGGCTTAGCGAGAGAGCCTCGTCTCAGGGTATAAGGAGAACTCTCGCGGGGGTAGGGAGGTTCTTCATCAGAACAGTCGGTGCACATAAACAAACAAAGAGAGAAAGAAAGAACGAAAGACAATCAATCAATCGATCAATCAATCAAACAAATAGGGGATAAGTTAAGAAACAGAAAAAATACAATCGTTAGACTGGACCAAGAACCACAGGGGTTCCTGATGGTCTGGAGGCCTCTGGTTGCCAGATCAGCAACACGCTGTTCGCTGAAATGTTAGGAGCGTGCTGTGCCTTCGGCCGGCCACTTTGTCCTTGGCCATATTGACCGCTGAAAGAAGCGCTTTGTGCAAAGAGAGAAGCTGCAGAAGCCGGACTGGCAGCGGCTCTTACTTTTGCTGTCAGCCGGCTGGAAATGGAAACGGGTGCGGATCACCTCCATTGACACTCCCGGACAGGTGAAGCGTGGTTCATTTTCACCTGTACGGATTAAATCGATTTCCCCATCTCAGGTGGAGAAAAAAAAACCCAAACCCACACCACTTTCGATGACTGGCGAGAGGCCAAAGGGGACGAAGGCTGTTGCATTAACCCAGCGGGGAAGGAGTTTGGGCGATGGAGTGACCCATGCCCTGCTGTCCGCTGAAAATGGACCCGATTGACCTTTCAGCCCCAAAGCCCCTCCATTTCCCCCTCTCTCACAAGAAGTCGCTAGACGTAGTTTGAGAATTCCCAGTGGGTGCCATCCGTCCGAAAGGTTGCACGGCGAGGGCGAATAGCTTTGCCCGCTGTGGGACATCTTGCCTTCGCAGCCACTCTCGTCGTGGACGGCTGCGGTGAAGGAGAGAACCTGTAATTGGATCACTCGACTCGTCACCCCTACCTGTTTGATGGGAGAGTGACAAGAGGCCCTTGGGTGGACAGCTCGTTAAGGGGGAATGACAGGCCGGAAAGACAGCGACTAATGGTTTTTGAACAGACTTGTCAGGAAAACGACTCCCCTGAGCTCGCTGCTCACGGTGGCCCTTTGTGCTGCAGCCATCCGCACCTTTGCAGCCCGACAAGGCGTGGGCCTGACAAAGTTCCGGACACAATTTTCCTTCTTAGGAGGCAGGGAACGAAGCAAGAGAAAAGCACCAGGAAAAAAGCGAGCCGGCGCTGCAGCCATCCGCACCTTTGCAGACCGACAAGGCACGGGCCTGACAAAGTTCCGGACGCAATTTTCCTTCTTGGGAGACAGGGAGAAAAGCACCAGGAAAAAAGCGAGCCGGACGAAAGAAAGCCGGACGCTTGTGGCCTTCCGATTCACTCCACAGCAGGCTGAAAGGGAAAGAATCCTCTGGTCTGGCGTCATCCCCTCTGCCGCCTCCCAGGCACCGTGGTGGGCTCTGTCAGCTAGCCAGTTTGCAAACCCAACGGCTTTGCTGCCTCTCACCCAAAACTCAGCCAATTCCAGCACAAGGCAGAGCAAGAAGGTGGCAGTGAAAAACAGCAGCGCCTCCTTCTCTGCAAGGCTTGTTCCTGAGTTTCAGGTATATTGCATCTGTATATGGAGGTTCCATTTCGCCCCTAAAGCAGGAATCAGCAATTGTGTCCCTCCTGGTGGTCTTTTGTTTTGCTTTGTGTGTGTGTTTTGCACTTCCTATAATCCATATCCAGAACTACTGGATTGCCCAGTGGTTTAATTTTATTTATTTATTTATTTGTTTGTTTGTTTGTTTATTTGTTTATTTAAGCATCTGGTCATGAGCAGAGGTTCGGAGTTCCATTTCCCTCCACTCAAGGAGTTCCCCCCTCCTGGACTGGGGCTGGACTCCATGATCCATTGGGTCCCTTCCAGTTCTACAGCCCTAATCTTAGGATTATTATTGTTGCTATTAAGCCTCACTATTAGCCAATGGTGCACAAGGCTGATGGGCATTGTAGTAGACCACCCTTGGGAACACCTTGGCCCATCTCTGCCTTATGCCCCTGATTGGGCTTCTCATGCACAATTTTGGAAAGACAAAAAAAAAACCAACGTGTTTATTTTGTTCACGTGTATAACGCCCTTCACACGAGAGAGGCGAATGAAACTATGCCCTGATAGGGCAGCCGGCAGAGAGGAAAGGGGCTGGGCTGGCCCGCCTCCTAGGGATGCGCGACGTGACGTCACCCCAGAAAAGCCTCGCGAGAGGACGGAGCCGGCACGCCATTTGGGCGGAGCTTTCTCTCTGAGCGCAGAACAGAACGTCGGGGTGGGGGTGGGTGGGGAAGAGAACGTGGGCGTGGCCACGTGACCCCAACGCCGGCCAACCATAGAGTGCGAACGCCTAGAGACCCCCCGGGGCTTCCTCCGCCTCCCCCGCGGGGGGGGAAGGCTGGGTAAAGACGTCATTTCTCCGCGCCGGCTTTGCTGTGTCACCGTCGCGCGGCTCCTTTCCTTTCGGTCCCCTCAGCCGCGCCGGCCTTCGCTTGCTTCTTCTCCTCCTTCTCCTCGGGCGCCATGGAGTACCTCATCGGCATCCAAGGGCCCGACTTCGTCCTGGTGGCCGCCGACACCGTCGCCGCCTCCAGCATCGTCCACATGAAGCGCGGTCAGTGGGGCTTGCCTGGACCCGGGAGGCCCGGCTCTGTGTGGGGGTCGTCGTCGTCTGAGGAGAATTCCGGGGAAAGAGGGGAGGGGGGGCAGGCAGGCTGGGGTGTGTGTGATTATTGTGTGTATTGCGCGCGCGCGTGTAATCCAATTAAGTTTAGTTAATTAAAAAGAGAAGGAAAAACGGGGGGCGGTAGAAGAGAGGAGGGTCCTCGTGGACCATCTGAAGGCAAGGCTGGGCTGCAGCTACATTTGATCCCTTAAAAAGGTTGAAATGTGGCCCTGGGGGGGGGGAACGACGACCCTGTGGGAGTGTAGAAATTATAACCCCCAAAGCATGACTTTGTTCTTGATGGTAAAATACAAAATGCACACACACACCCTCTTGTGTTTCGGATCGACCTGAGTGGGTGGGAAAGCTGGGCAGTGAAAAAAGCTGACAGGAAGGAAATGGATACGTTTTGAAAAATGTTGCTGGGGGAGAGCTTTGCGGATACCTTGGACTGTCAGAAAGATGAACAAGGGCGTCCTGGAGCAAATCGAGCCAGAACACACACACACTCTCTCTGAGCCAGAACTCACTCACTCTCTCTCTGGAAGCAAAAATATTGAAAGTGAAGCTGCCCTACTTTGGGCACATTGTTGAGAAGGCAGGATTCTCTGGGAAAGATAACAGTGCCGGGAAAGGCGGAAGGCAGCAGGAAAAGAGGAAGGCCCAATACGAGATGGGCTGGCTCCGTAAAGGAAGCCACAGGCTTGATTTTGTGGGCTGACTCCGTAAAGGAAGCCACAGGCTTGATTTTGGAAGGACTGAGCAGGGCTGTTGAGGAAAGGAGGTTGTGGGGAGTGCTCGTTCATGGGAATCACCATGAGTGGGAAGCAACTTGACCACCTACAACAAGAACAAGCGCCACGAGCTGGCTGGGTGGCTCAGTGAGTTGGGTTCCTGACTGCAGAGCCGGAGGTTGGGTGTTTGAATCTCCTCTGTGTATCTATGGAGATGTGTCAGCCTGTTTATCCTTGGGCAAGCTGCGGATTCCAGGGCACCCCAGGAGAAGGGAATGGTAAATCAGCCTGTTTATCCTTGGGCAAGCTGCAGATTCCAAGGCACCCCCAGGAGAAGGGAATGAGAAACCAATTATGTACCTAAAAGATTCTGGAACGTCAGGAATGACTTGACAACATGAAGCACCCACAAGCATCAGCTAACTTTCAACAATGCACAGATCTTCATCACACTGGTGGTGCAGTACATAGAAGATTCTGGAATGTCAGGAATGACTTGACTACATGAAACACCCACAAGCATCAGCTAACTTTCAACATTGCACAGATCTTCATCACACTGGTGGTGCAGAAGAAACAGAAGTGTTCTGGCAATGGTAGCCAAATGTACCTGGCAGTCTCCTTTGTTAGAAACAAGTTTCAAAATGGGGTCTGCAGATGAAGGTCAGAGGTGCATGTTTCAAGATTCCACCTCTGTTGAATGTGGATTTGAATGTCTCTCCCAGTCTTGTTAGACAAAGGGTTGGTTTCATTCAGCATTCTCTCCCTTGCCATCCAGTGCTTCTTGAACTGTTAGAGATCCTTGGAGAAGATGGAAATGGATGTGGGAGTTAACACAGGACTAGGGTTTTGTAAGAGCTTTGCTGAGAAAAAGTAGGAGACCCCAGAGAGTTTAGGAGGAGAAGGACATGGTTAGGTGGTGCTCAGAAGGTGAGGAAAACATATTGTGCTGAGTACAGATGGGCACTTATCGGTTTGGCCCACCTCCTTGTCTGAGCGGGCGGCTGCTGGAGGAGGCGGGGAGAGGAAGCCTGAGCTCTTATCCTGACTAGACAGCTGGGCCAAATCAATTTGTGCCCATCTCTAGTGCTGAGCATTAAGAACAGCTTTTCAGATGTGTGTTTAGCACATTGCACTTATGTTTCTTTTATTAAAACAAACAGATTTTCATTAATTTGGATCCATAGAAAATTATGTATTGTAAGTTCATTTACCACCTCACAGCTTGGGGTAGTGCCACCCAAAGAGGAACAGGAGTCGGTTTCCTTTTTTTGTGTAGATAGCCCATTGGTGGCATTTAGGGGGCTTTAAGGACACTGTGAGCATTTTTTTAAAATGGAAAAGAGCTGGGGGAGTCTTTTTTGCCCCCACTAAGCATCTTTGTGGTGTCCATTATAAGCTCTCTCCCAAACCAAATCTGGAAAGTTAACATCTAAGAAAAATAATAAAATCACTCCAAATTCCCATTTCCCATCCTGATATGACTCTGAATGGTGCCTGGGGACAAAAATATGCCTGTGCCCCCCCCCCAGAGCAGTCCCACTGGCATTAAATAAATCTCAGATAAAAAGTTCTTGGTTTCTTTTAAGTGTGTCCATTGGCAGGAGCACTAACCAGGAGTCATCAAACAGAATGCACCAGTTTTTGTTACGGTAAATCAGAACCAGCATGCCAGCTTATAGTAACAAGTGGACCAGACCATTAAGTTCTATTGCACTACTTTCACAGCCATGCAGTATTGTACTTTGCTCTTTTTTTCCCCTGGGCTTGAGTTAAGTGGTATTCTGCTCTTTTCGTCCTCCCTAAGCAGAGAATTGATTTTCAGCATTATAAGTGGCAACTTGCCATTTACTTTGGAAGCCAGCAATACAGATTCTGTTTATAAATTCTTTGTGTTTTGTCACACCGTAAACGGATGCGAGTGCAGCCCTCTGTGCTCAGTAGTTCCAAACTATTAAATGCTGCATTTTAAAAATATATTTTAAAAACTGTGAAATATTCTGCTAATCGTTTTAAAGGATTATTACATAGCAGAAGCTTTTAAATGTGGCCTCCAGGGGAGATTATTTAGCCATATTTTTTTCTAGGTAGAAAATGAAACTCAGATTATGATATGGAGATTTGGACTGCTATCTTGGGGGCACCTGAAATGCATAGAGTATGGCGTTATCAAAGGCGTATGTTGATCGGAAAAATAGAAAGAAAACTTTATTATCTAGTTAAGGCAGACTAAGGATAAGTAAACATGGCAAGATCATAAATGACCTGAAAATAATATGCTCCTCCTTATTGGTTGCTGAAAGCATGTAGACCTACCTGCTTTTCTTTAAAGAAGAAGAACAGATGTTTTGGTTTTTGCAAGGCAATACTGGTCTATTTGTTTGTTTGTTTGTTTATTTTACCCCACATTTCTTTTAAAGAAAGAACCCTAGGCAGCTTACATCATTAAAAAAGCAGTATTGAAAGCAAAACAAATTTAGTAAATTACTGAAATAATGAAGAACTAATAACATTATATTAAACATGAGTTTTGACTTTCTGTCGATCTCACTGTTCCTCCTGTTCAGCATTTTCAGAGTTGTAGTAGATACCTTCAGACTCTTCTGCTTATTTTTAAGGTGTTCCTGGCATATTGACTATTAAGTCAGGTGATCATGTTCAATTAAATGTGTTTGTTGTATATTGCGAACCAGTCATCTGCATGTCTGAGGAGATGGATGTGAATTTATAGGCTACCTTGTTCTGGTTCTGTAATTACTCCTCACAGGTTCAAGGCTCATTTACAGTTTTATAATCTGTAAGCTATGAAACCTTTAAATCTGTAGGTGAATTGGTGAAGCCCCGGAATTGTTTGTTTCTCTCTCTCTTTCTCTCAGTATCAGTTCCTTTTTTATTTCTGATGGTGGTGTGATTATCTTCTCCCCACCCCTCTTGATTAGATCATGACAAGATGTTCAAGATGAGTGAGAAGATCCTGCTCCTTTGTGTGGGAGAGGCTGGTGACACGGTCCAGTTTGCAGAATACATCCAGAAAAATGTCCAGCTCTACAAGATGAGGAATGGTGAGTGGCTAGTGAGTCCCTATATAAGTTCCTGTGGGAGTTCTCTATTAATACAGTAGGACCCCCATATCCACAGGATCAGTATCCACTGACTCACTTATCCTTTGGCTGAAAATACCAAATAAAAAACACCAGAAATTCCTTTACGAGTTTTTTTTTTAACGACCCATACAGTAGGAAACCCTCCCTCCATCTGCAGGATCAGTATCTGATGATTCAGTTATTCACTGGCTGAAAATACCAAATTAAAAAGCTTAGAAATACCTATTTCCAGGGTGTATTTACCAGATGACTCACTTATCCTTTGGCTGAAAATACCAAATAAAAAACACCAGAAATTCCTTTACGAGTTTTTTTTTTAACGACCCATACAGTAGGAAACCCTCCCTCCATCTGCAGGATCAGTATCTGATGATTCAGTTATTCACTGGCTGAAAATACCAAATTAAAAAGCTTAGAAATACCTATTTCCAGGGTGTATTTACCAGAACTGGAGGGTCCTTAGAAATACCTATTTCCAGGGTGTGTTTACCAGAACTGGAGGGTGCCAGACACTATGCAATATATAGCATTCGATACTTCCTCATTTTTCAGCATCCACAGTGTGTGTGGGGGCTTGTAACCAATCCCCCCACAGGTACCATGGTCCTCCTGTATTACTAAATGACTAAAAGTGAATTGTCATTCCTAGAAGCCATCAGAACAGGCTGCACCTAAATGTCAAAAACTTCTTCCTCCTAAAACAGAAGTTGGCTTTTGCCCACTTTCTGATTTTATTTTATTTTCCCCCATGGAGAAGCTACCTGTAGTCCCTTGTGGTCTTGGGAAAATGCCCCTTGAAATCCACACCACTTACCTGGTTGTGCTTTACATACCATACAGCACTGGTTCTTAACCTTGGGTTACTCAGGAGTTTTGGACTGCAACTGCCAGAAGCCTTCACCACCAACTGTGATGACTGGGGTATCTGGGAGTTGCAGTTCATAGTCCCTCATGGTCTCGGAAAAAATGCCCCTTGAAACCCACACCACTTGCCTGGTTGTGCTTTACATACCATGCTAAAGATGTGTGATTGCGTTGGATCCTGGATTCCCACCCACATTCCTGGGTTGGGCCTAAGCTGTATGCGGCTCCTCTGCACACCCTCTTTCGGTGTCTCTCCATCACTCTGTTAGTCATGGCAGTGCACGGGGATATATGTGATTGCGTTGGATCCTGGATTCCCACCCACATTCCTGGGTTGGGCCTAAGCTGTATGCGGCTCCTCTGCACACCCTCTTTCGGTGTCTCTCCATCACTCTGTTAGTCATGGCAGTGCACGGGCCAACAAGGTAAAGCTGTAAATGTTTTGGAAATCAATAGAGAGGCACTCTTGAGCACAGCAGGTTCTTCTACCTCCAAGAGAGCTGCGTCCTCCAGCCTGCAAACCTGATCCTCCAGGGGAGTGTAAACACCACAGAGGGCACATAAATATCCCTCTAAGTGGCCTGGAGCTTTTATTTGTTTGTTTATTGCACCTACTTGCTCAGCAAATCAAAGGAAAGTTGCTATGTGCTTTGGATATTAGCAAGATGCTCTAGATAGAATGAGCTTTGGTTCACCTTACGTTTAACAATGAGATCCTTTTTTTTCTTGTCAGGATATGAATTGTCTTGTTCACCTTAGGTTTAACAACGAGATCCTTTTTTTTTTTTCTTGTCAGGATATGAATTGTCTCCAACTGCAGCTGCCAACTTCACCCGTCGAAATCTGGCTGATTATTTGCGGAGCAGGGTAAGTGAGGCAGCTTTCCAAAGCTGCACCAGTCTAAATGTCCCGTACGTGTAACTCTCACCAACCCCCCTTTTTTGGGGGGGGGTAGATGTTCAGAAGTTGCATCTTTTGGTCCTTTTGGATGCCACCAGCACTGTTTCCTCATGCATTAAAGATGGAGGATTCTTCAAACTGCTGGTTTGACTTCATGGGAAAGTGAACTTAAGGAAGTTGCAAGAAATAATTTCTTCTCCTGCATCTTTACTGTGCAAAAAGCCTCTTTATGCAGAGGAGGTGCGTTCAGCTTCCACTGTGAGGAAACGTGCAGGGCCTGTGGGGAATAACTGGCTTCAGTCAGGCAGTGGCCTGGTCATTTAAGGAGGATAGTTCCTTCCTCAATCAGCTTCACCAGACAGCTTCAGTGGAGGATGCCCTGGCATTTGGGGGTGGGTGCCAAGTGTTGCAAAGTGTGGGAAAAGCTGAAGAGGCTTCCCTCTGTGATCTTAACATAATATTCAAGGCACTGATTTATTGTGTTTCATTGATTGAACTTCTTAGCAGCCTTGCATGAGTGGCTTTTGTGAAACAGAAGGCAACTGAAAGTATTGAACATTCAATATATTTAAAATTGGTTTCAATATTTAACTGGAATACTCTACTCTCCTGGTGGAGTATTGTTGTTATAAGTCGTTCCCCCCCCCCCCCGCTGAAACCTGCAGTTATTTTATAATATTTACAACAGCCTTGTGAGTCAGGGCACTGGTGTGTTTGTGTTGCAAGTGTGAGGCTGGGACACAGAGAGTAGTTTTCTTTAGTGAACGTAGTGAGATTATGGCCAGAGAACTGATCAAATGAGTAGATTTAAATCTTGATTTGTAGATAAATATTTTACCCACTATGGTACACCTGCTCAGAAATGAAGATGGTTTAAGTTACTCAGCTGACATGAGTTAATACAAGCAATGTGTTTAGATCTTTTCTCTTTCTGCCTCTGGGGTTCTCGGAGCCAGCAATTTTCACCCTGCCATTTTTTTAACGAGATTGTTGTCCTTTCAGAAGAAAACAGAAAATTATTTGCAGGCATGTGCCTACCCATGACTAGGTGCTTCGGGGTAAAAAAAAATGCCAAATAAAAATGGAAACAGCTTGTGATCAACCACATTTGCTTCTTCTTTTGGAAGCCCCTGCTTTATGGGTAGCAGGATAGATCGTGATCTGTCGCAGACATTTTGGCTGTTTCTGTTGCAGTTTGTTTTAGTACATTTCCGTGTACTGAACAGGGAAATCCAGATATTGTGTTGGGTGTAAAATCTGGAACCTATGAAAATGTGGGCATGGGGGAGGGTTGGGTCTTCTGGCCTTCATTCCCTTACATGCACTAAAGAAAAATTCTGTGTCATTCAGAAGTGAGCTACACTTGTGATTGATGAGAATCTGGAACTTGACAAATATTCTCAACGTCCCTGTTCGTGACATCCACTGGAGGCCTACAATAGAAATACTGTAGACAGCTGGCTGGTGACGTGTACCTTCTGCCCTCAATGTGCCTCTAATGTTTCCAGGGCTGAAATGGAATGAGCTTAGTCTTGTACAGAGTTCCTTACCTGTCCTGTACAGGTGGAGTCCCAGGGAATGCTGCTGGCTTTAGGAAGCTCTGTCATCTGATGTGGCAAATTTCCAGCAGTGCGCTTGCAAGCTGTTTTGCTTTCAGTTCAGCAGGGTAAGCACCTGGTCAGGATAGCATTTGCTAAGAATTGGAAGTGGGGCTTGAGAGTGGGGGGGTTATCTCCTGCATGAGTGCACAACTAGGGACCTGCTGGCAGTGATTTGGCTAACAAATTCTGAGAAGCATATATCTTCTCCACGCAGCTACATAATCAAATGGAGAAGTTTTTGCTCCATCCATGGCTTTGTCCATTTCCCCTCTTCTATCACCTGGCGTCTGCGATTTTTCCCTTTCTGTCTTTTTCTTCCCCAGACCGACACATGAGCCGTTTGTGGTTTGCCTTGCCACCACAAATCTATTACAAGACACTTTCTCTCGCTACTTTGCTCCCTTGAGCTGAAAAGATTCGCACACCGTAACAAAAATCTAGACTGTCAGCCAGGTCTGTACGACAGGTGATCAGCAAGCAGAATTTCCCTGTGGTTATGAATTATATCTTGCTCATTGTTCAGGAGTACCCCACCTGCTCTTGTAGTCTTGCCTAAAGTTTTCTTGCATTGGGCTTGATGGATGGCGAAGCAGTTCTTTGCAGCGGCAGCAGTGGGCACTTTTCAGCTTCCAGGGGGAAGGATTTTCCTCCCGCAAGCAGTTCTAGATGGGAGAAAGGAATTAAGTATCTTTGGGGGGCGGGGAACTGGGATAAGGCCTTCAGTTCTCATGTAAATGCACGGATTCTGTTTAATCCCCCTCCGAGAAGAATTTAATAGAGTGGAACTGTTTGATGTACTGAGCCAAGCAAGCTCTTTTTCTAAATACTGAAAATGAAGCTTTACGTAAATATCCTATAAAGCTGAACTCTGTGTGTCTCTCTGTATGCGTTCATATAGACATACACAAGGGATCTAATGCACAGGGTTTCTCATGGTCCTTGATGCATGTTGCGAAGGACTCAGGGTCCCTTTGTACCTGTCTTGTAGTCTGATCCGGCAGCGAGAGAGATTCTTAGCAGGGGTGACCTGGCTGGTTGCATCTCTTTGCAGTTGTTTCTCTCTTCTGGCATGAGTTAACTTGATTTGGCCATTAGGGTGGCGATTCTTTAGCTGCAGGCTCCTGATGCCTGCAGACTTTTATTTGGCAAGTGTAAGCTAGAGGGCTGGACTGATAGTTGAGAGGTGCAGATGCTAATCCTCCCAAAGCCTTGAGTATCACTGGGTGACATGGGGCCAGTTGTCTCTCTAGCCAGCCCACCTTACTGGGTTGTTGTGAGGATGAGGTAGAGAGAAACCTATAGCTGCTTGGAATTTGTTGGAGGAAAGGTGGGTTAGAAATGCAACTAAGAAATAAACAACACAAAACAAACCATTGGGGTTTTCAAAATGGGATGGAAGAGGCGATATTCTTTGCTGTGGTTTCTTCTTGTGGTGGGGAAGAGGGGTTTTAATCTCTTTAATAGGCTTCAGGGTTGACCTAGGGGCTTCAATTCCCTTGTGCCTCTCTAACTGCTAGGCTTCCTTTTCCCCGAGTGTGGCTGCCACCATGGCTGAGTGTCACCTCCTGGCTTTTCTTCCCAAGGTCACGTGACCTTTGGAGCAGATGGCCCCAGCCATATCCCGCTTTGGAGCATCCTTCCTAACGAGGCCAATTTAAACATGCCACTTGGCCAAGAGGGGCTGGCAGGATGCAACATAACGGGGTTCTGCTGTTACATAACAGCACTGATGTTACCTGGAGGCCTGATCCTGGCTGCTTCTCTTTCTCGCCCCCTCCCCTCACTCCTGCTTCAATGCCTGGCTTTGCCGTCTCGCTTACCTGCTCCAGATGGGCCACGCAGCAGGGAGGACCCTGGCAGAGACAGATGTGTTTATTTACCGGAGATGAGATGTTGCACTCTTGCAGATGGCATGGCCCTCCAGCAAACGGTGCACTCTGACACCATGGCCTCTGCCACTTGGGGAGGGGGCGGCGGTGGCGTTCTCCGGCTTTTCCCTTGAATATCTCCTTCCACTGCATTTGCATGAAAGGCAAAGGCCATTTCGAAATGGCTTTGCAACTGTTAGCTGTGGAAAATGCATCTCCTTGCCACTCCAAAGAAGTGAGCCTTCATTTCTGGGTGGCCAATTTCTTCAGTAAGAAGACAAGAAATATTTGCAGATCTTATGCCTGCCTCCTCTTGCACTCAAGGCGATGCTTGTCTGTTTGAAATCACTGTGTCCCACTTTTGTGTCCGTCTGGTCCCCTCCAGGCCACTTTAGGGTAACCTCAGGAGGACGAAATGACGTGGAAACAAGCCAAGATGGCCCTAATAGTAATAGCAAGGTATCATCCCCACCAGAAAAAGAAATATAAGGTGGCAGAATTAACTCCCAGCCAGTAGCTGTCCTTTTGCTTAGTCCCAGAGTTTCCGCAAGGCAGCAAGGAACTAACGAGACAGCTCTAGTCTGGCAAGGAAACCAGCTGAAGTGCTACGTAAGAGAGAGAAGCTCTGGCTGAGCATCCTTGACACCTGAGGCTGTTAGGGATGCCCAGCAAGCGAAGATAGCCTGGACACAGCCATTGTGGTTTCTAACAGAGTCAACCCTTCCTCAGAGAACCCTGTTCTCCTTAGGAATACAGTATAGGATGCTGCTTATACAGAGTCAGATCCTTTATCCATCTGGTCCATCAGCTCTGATTAGTCATAGTTTCAGGCAGGATGGTTGGCTGGCCTTACCAGTAGGCTTCTGGTCTTCTCTGATGGCCTCCCATCCAAGAACTAATAACCAGGCCTGACCAGCTCAGCTTCCAAAGCCAGAGGTTGTGTTCAGGGTGGTTAGTTAGTTAGTTAAACTCTTGTGCTTAGCCTTGTTGGTTGGTCATTTAGACCCTTGACTCTTGCTGTGCCCTTCAAAGTCTGTACTTGGTGATGGATTCCCTTCTCTGGTCATGATGGCAGCTTTGCTCCACTATCCTAGAGCCTCTGGCAGGCGCCCTGCTGGGGTGGGGAGGGCAGAATCTTTTCTGTCCAGGACGACTGTGTTAATTGTCCCAGAGCGACGCTTCCCTTTCTGGTGCCGTTTCTCAGGCCCTTGCTCCAAATCGTGTGATTCTGATCACAAGACGCCTTCTTAACGTGGGCTCCTCGTTGTTTGCCCCGAAGGCGCTGCAATCAAAATTACAGAGTCGTGTCTTCTGCCTTTGTGCACATGAAAGTGCAAGGAGAGAGGCCTCCCCAGAAGATAGGGGGTTTGGGGTGATTTGGGGGCCCGTCCATCTCTAGCTGGGTTTTCCTCTTTGTAGAGTCATGTGTGCTGCTTTAGCTTCTCAAGGCATGACCGATCTCCACATTTGGGTGTTGGGTCGGCAAGGCCCGTCACTT